GATACAACGTGAGTCAGTAAATAAAATTAAACTGGTCATTAAATTCTATGATATATTCTAAGCATTACACATATTCAAAATGTATTTCCTTATTCCAATTAAAGAAACCATCTATTATATTTAAATTTGACTAAAATTTTACGAAAAGTTAATTAGCTTAAATCATTGGTTATACCTTATATGGTTTATAAGAACAAGATTTGATCGTCAGGTGAAAAAAGGAATTGTATCATAATAAATTTGTAACAGTTAAAACAGTAACACCTCAAAACCTCAATGTCTGTAAACAGGCAAATCATTTTTAACTACTCCGTATTTGTTTAAGTATAAGTCGTATCATAAAGATTCTTGCATTACGTTCTATAGACGTTAGTTTTAGTTTAAATTTGTAAAACACAGGCTTACTATCGTACAATATACCACGTATTTGTTTTCACATACTGGCATACTTCACATACTGATGATAATGTTAGATTGCGACCAATTGTCATCTCAGTTGAAGACTCACGATGCAGTCAGTCATCGTCATTCCATTGTGATCCTCACCTCGCGCTCTGAGGCAGAGACAATGCATCACATGATTGATGGCCCGATGTCTAGTGACTAGTGGAGAGAGATGGATGAAAGTAGCGGCTACTGTACCTCCACCTAATGTGTAGATAATGATACAGGCACGTCTCACGAGAGAGTCGCAATTAATACAGTTTTGCTACAAGATGCTGACTCAGGTAATTAAATGTTTTGTAGGCCCTGAGAGCAGAGGGGCAATGACAACCACGAGATATACAGAAGCAATATGGCCATCACGAACCTGCTGAGAGTAGAAAATCTAGTTGATGTTAAAGGAGTATAATCGTATTAACTCTCAGTATTTAGTTTTTAAATAGTTCAATTCTATGTACTGCAGTAATAACTGTTTTTGTTCAATAAAACTTGACCATAGTCATTAATTTATTGATGAGTGATTGATGTTTATTCACCGCGTGTTGAACGCATCAACAGTGCTGTAAAATAGATAGAATAATGGTTAGGCTATAACTTTATGAAACGCTGATGATAAAATAATATTCTCCCGACATTATATAATTAGTTCCCCTTTTCTAATGATCCTTAATAAAACGTCTATTACACATCAACCTCATCATGGTATGGAATATTTGTAAGAACAAAACCTTGTTAACCACATAACTTTTTCTCATCCTAACATCAAATATAAAAATCAGCTTGTTAATCATGACCAGCCGAACCAAATGTAGTAGAAACTATATTTATTTAAACTGATTGTTTCAATGGATGCTTAAGTTTATAAACAGAAACTTAAAAGTGTTTTGATATTTAACTGTAAACAAATTATTTTTTTGGGAATTTTTAGAATCATAAAAATAACTTATAAATAGACTGAAGGATGCCCATGACGATTCGCAAACTTTGTGTAAAGTATGTAATTTTCAACCAATATAGTGGTTGGTTTCCGTAGAGTCGCTGCTAGTTCACCAACATTTTCACATTTCTTCCGTTGAAAAATAACATTCTCATTCAGCAAAATACCAATTTACAATTGAGCTCCAATGTAAATGGAGAAAGTCCTATGGTTTTGTGCGACAAGTGCTTGGTATTGTTGTGATTTGGAGAGAAATCCGTGGGTGAGTGCGTGACCTGTCTGGAATAAGCTTCCCTCGAAACACACTTCCAGGGGTCATGTGTGAGTGTGAGTGTGAGATGGGGCTTCGATAGCGCGGGATTCCTCTTTCTCTCTTGAGAAGGTCACTGTCGTTGCCGTGTAGCATGAGACCTAGGCCTTAACTCAGGAAAGAGAAAGTTCTCTTGAGCTAAACAATGGCAATTTCCAGTATAGGTTCCTCTAGGATCTTCTAGTAAGTGCACAATGAGTTTTGCTCAATATGTATACAGTTATTGACACTTTCAAAACATTACAGAACCTACAAGATTGTAAATTTTAAGAGACCTTTTATTTTTTTAAGGGAAAGTTACACCATAATTAATTATTGGGGAAGATAGGAAAATAATTGCTTGCCTTCCCTAAATAAACAGTTAAACTCTATCCATCCCTGCAACACTGTTCCATGTCCATTACACAATTATTTAGATCGTAAATTTAGATTTGAAGAAGAAAAATGATTTCTTAGCTATAGCTCTCTATAGTAGATTGTTATAACTTTATAAATTAAGTAATAACATACGAAAACAAGTAAGTAAGTAATAACAATAAGATTTTAGGAGACGCCACCTAAGATCGTAGCTTACCCCAAAAAGGAGTAAAAGATGAGTGTAGATGAAGTGCGGTACCTTTGAGTAGCTTTGACTCTGCCTACCACATGTTTCTTCAGCCAAGATCATTTTTAAACCCAACGATCAAAGGATGTTGGGTGCAGTTTCGAACCTTCAAGAGGCTGCAAACCTTTCTAAGGATCGAACAGGCGAAATGCTTATCACTAGGAAAGCAGTAATTTGAAGCAAAAAATATTAATTGATAAATTTACCTACGAATAAATTACAATCTAGGAACCGCCAAAGGAGTTATCTTAACAATATTTCTGAGAAGCTGAAGTCCTATTGATTTACGGAAGATGAAGAGCCGGATAGACCAAGGGCAGGAGGTAACTGCCACAGCCAAGCCATGGCCACGACCGGAGATGGCGGTGATGGTGAAGCAGGTATCGTGATTGGAGAAACCGAGGAAAGTTCTCAAAGACTGGCGATGCAAATCCGAATAATGGGTCAGAGATGCCCGATGTAATCGATGCCTACACGAAGCCGCGTGGGGGAGCGGAGGACGGAGGGTGGAGGGATTCTAGGTTCGAGGTCACCCGAGTCACGGATCCTCCTAGGAAGACATATGGCAGACGTGAGAATGGCGTACTGTCTGGGGACAACGGCAAACCTCAGATTGCCCATCAGATTGAGGGAAAAGTAAAAGGCTTTCTCGAGAAACAAGAAAGTCATTCATGCATGACTTTAACCACTTTCAATATGAACAGGTGCATAGCCAGTACTTCTGATAGTCAAATCTCTTGATATTAGAAAGTGAAGCAACATGGCTATGACGAATCAGTAACTTGAGTGGTAGGGTTCATACAGTTTTTAAATGTCCAATATAAAGGGTGTTTCGGATATTGGAAACAAATATTTGTCGGATTATAACGTTATAAAAAAAGTACTTCAAGAACAAAGCCAAATATGTAGTTCAGCCTTTATTACACGGCTCAACGATGTAAATAAAAATTCCTACAACGTGGCGACAAGGAACTTTGACGACTATTAGCAACCGATCTGTTGTGTGAGTGGAATTCACAAATCGTTCTATAACATTTCTCGACACTTAAAGAAATCTGTCTCAAGGTCGCACCTGCAGCAGTTTTCCACAATGATCTGGTGCTCTAGTGTTTGCGAAACCATAACGAAATGTCAAGGTCTTGCGTCTTGCGGTTGGAATACATCCAGACTGATTGTCGCCTCGGGGTGTTTACAGTTGCGTCACTTCCTCCATTCCCTCGGCCGACCGGAACTGATGTATGTTGTTCATCACATCCTCGCTCCTGCTCCTGCAGCCTCTGTTGAGTAATTGCTGAATACAGTCAGGCAAGTTGCGTTGTAAAGGCATACAGAGAAAAATGCTTCAATGTTTATGAAGTTAAGGGCGCATTTTTCATTTAGCTATTAACAATTGATGCTAAGTTATAAAACTGGGACGGGTGGTGTCGTCCTGTAATCCAGCTACTAGGAGGTCACGAAATTGTGGATATTTATAGGCATGCACTTTGGATGCGATACTCTCTGGTGTGGATTAACGTCCGCACGAGTGAGTACTACGACTATCCGCAGTACTTTCCTGATAATTAGACCAATTCATATATACCATGGCAAAAATGTGGTTCGGATTCCACTATAAACTGTAGCTGTATGGGCTATTAATTAACAGCTGTGTCTAAGGAATATGTCGGCCGTAGTCACTAACAAGAAGATCACGCCACTCATCCTACACTCATCTCCATTCATACTTGGCTTAAAATACCTACTTTGTATGGTCACTATTTCATCGAAAAAAGATTGACTCTGGATCGTCAATGATTGTAACAAGACAACAGATTGGACTGTTTCCTTACACAAAATCTAAAAAAAATACCGATGGCGTACATGGGCTACAAGTCAGATACCAAAATACATTTTAACATGAATCCCTTTAGATCGTTTATGTTTGTATTTTTTTACCATGATAGCTATTGAATATTAGCTCTGTTAGTTTATATTTATCATTCGTAAGAAACTGTTCATGATATTGAAGATTGTAGCAGTATGAAACTTAGTCCGATATTAGATATTCTCACTATTAAACAGAAAAAGTTTACATTTTCCCAGTTTTCACCCATAGACCACAGTCTAAGAACATCAAAAAATAATATAGATTGGTTGAAGTAGGGACATGGAGTAGTCCAATTTCCTCTTATGACACAGTGTAACATCCGCCGAGCCCCGTAATCTGGGTGATCTCATGACCAGTCCTCGGTCCAGAACCGGTCCTTGAGGTAGTTGCACTGCTCCAGTCACCGATTAATTGTGTAACTTCTCACAGTTCATTGTGGGTAATGGGTAATCCGCCTCTCATAACCAAGTAGCTATCTTCATATCAGCCTAGTTTACTGTACAATTTCACACGCTGCTTCCTTTGTTCTTTCGAATTCCCAAAGCTTAGGCGTGTAGGTTCATTAATATATGTGAAACCTGTTTCACAGGCAGGATTCTTCCCTGCTAAATTTTGATTTGCCAAAGCTCGTAACGGTGTGTGCCACTGACCAGAGTGTACCGTGTACCTCTGAGTCGACCCCCACCATGTGCCCTGGGAACCAAAAAGGTCACGAACGCGAACCGGTGAGAGTAGAAGATGCGCGCGGAGAAAGGGGGGCGAATCTTGCCTAAGATTATGTACTTTAGTATTTCCGTATAAATAGAGGGGTATCTGGCGGGGAGGTATTAGTGCTTTGGTGGCAGTGTAGGAGACGATATGGCAGCCGGTGTGTGGGGTTTGGTGATCTTTTTGGTGGTGCAGACGACGTTCGCGTTACCCACTAACAGTGAGGAGAACGAAGTCGTCCCCGGGCTCAGGATTTTGAGGAAGTTGTATGACGACTGTTCGAAAAAGGACTCAGCCATGATGTGTTTAAAAGGGAAAGCCATTACATTCTTCGACCGTGCTAGCAGAAGTGACTCTATCTCAGTGGGTGATCTGGTGACTCTAGTCCGCGAGGAAGGTTCCAGGGTGGATTACGGGAGGGCGATCACCGAGACCGACCTAGAGACCGTCTCCCAAGGTGCCGACGAGACCTCCAGGGACGCCAAACTCAACGACCTTCTGTTCGACAGAGTGGCACGATTCTTCAACTCTCACAGCGTCAAGCTGTCCCTGCCAAAGATGTCCTCTGAAGAACTGGCTAGAGGTTACGAAGAAGGTAAAAAGATCAAAAGTAAAATCCAAAACTTGATTCTATATGCACTAATCATCGTACTTTCTATACTGTGAGGTAATAGTTCGTCTTATCGTTACTACTGTGTGTGCCATGCATTATTTATTCCTACTTCTGCTTACGGAAGATAGAGTAGACATTTTTAGGTTCGAATTGCTTCACGCCAAAGTTTAAATTGAAACTTTTGTTTCATGAATCAGTTTTATTTGAAGGGCTTTCGATTATGCCAAAGATATTTTTATTTGCTTTAAATTGCTTTTAAACATTTATCTTTACAGTTTTGAAAAAATAAATATATTTAATCAAAAATACGTTATACAGTTCATTTAAATATACACACAAGTAAATATATTTTAAATAATAGACTAACATATCTCGTTGCTGTAATGATGGACGATTTTGGACAACGATTTAATATCTTTTAAGTTCAAATTATCGATACACCCATACATTAAATAGATTATGCAATAATCTTATATATTTGTTTAACTCGATGCTCCCTAATTCTATATTGCATAACTTAAAAAACTACACTGCACTTAATTGGAAATGCCAACAAATAGAAACATCAAAATGCCTACGAAATAAAGTCAGAATAACTCAACTAAGTAAAATAGTACCGTTAAAATACATTATATCTAACCAAAAAAATGTGATAACAGTTAAAAAATTGTTTGTTACCTGTTAGGGGCAATTATTCGCAATGTAAAAAGAGAACTATATTTACTATACCCAAACATTGTCAAGTACAAAATTTAGTACAAAATATGTAAGAGATACACGCACTTGTATCATAATATTAAGAATGAATTTGGAGCATTACTTATTTGTAACCTAAAGATTTTAGTCAGTGTGCCATTTTGTAGTTTTGTGTTAATTTATTTATGTTATATCACTGTTAGTAAGCACCTTATTGTTTAATTGTAAATATTTTGATCAATAAACTATTTGCTCCAAATTCATTCTCTGTGTTTTATATACCTAACCTCTTTTAATCTTACTTACGAAACATGCATAACTACATTATTCGAAACACATGCATTGATCTATCATTACCTTATGAGCTTGAAAGTAACTATCAACATCATATTTAAATCGCAATTCATTCTTGCTCAGCAGATCAGTATGAGTGAACTGTAATTAAATATCTTAAATTACAGTTTATCACAAAATGGATCTAAAAAATAAATTGTACGCTTTTAATGTTCAATATACATAATGCTGGTAAATATTCAATCTAAGTTAGGTATCACAAATCAATGAACTATATTTTGTAGATAACTACGAAAAGTAGTTCCTTTAATGAGAAACAAATATTGAAAATAAATTATATGACGAATTCCAGTGAGTAAAGAAAACATCAATTAAACAAAACCATGTTCACAACCTAAGCATGTCTAAACAAAACCATGTCCACAACCTAAGCATGTCTAAACAAAACCATGTTCACAACCTAAGCATGTCTAAACAAAACCATGTTCACAACCTAAGCATGTCTAAACAAAACCATGTTCACAACCTAAGCATGTCCAAACAAAACCATGTCCACAACCTAAGCATGTCTAAACAAAACCGGTTCACTTGTTCATATAGGCATATAAAATTAATATTTTCTTGGGTACAATTCTGCAGAGAATCTGCGATATATTATCGGTTTGAATATCAATAGGCCTATATAGATTTTAATTCAGTTCGATAAGTTATATCGTTTGTACAATACTCTTTTTTTATGTAAACATAGAATTGAATCGACTTATCATTTGTTTATGTTTTTATTATCTATATCTATCTAATATGAGTAAATTTGCAAACAATGATTTAAAAAACGGGTCCTATGATTTCTTCAATTTTTTTTAAAAATATCTTAGTTTTAGGCTGAAAACAATATCCATGCCAGACTCTGTTCTGGGAAAATTAGTTTTTCATTAAAACCTTAAAATTAAATTTTAAAATATTTAACATTTTTCTCTTATAGACTAGCTATGACTGTTTTACGAAAATGTAAACAAATGGATTCTAACATATGCTTGTAAAAAAGTCATCTAAAGTACAGTAGCAAATTACAAAATACAGTACAAAGGAAAAGGAAATGTCTATGAATGCTATTGAACATTGATTATACAATACATTTGAATTGTATGATGTATTACTAACCAAATGGATAATTACGAATGATCAAAAACGTTAAGTGTTTTACAACAAAACATCATACACTAATATTGAACTAAAAGTCTAAAGGAAAGGCCAAGGACGTTTTGTAGTTTTCGAAGAATTGATGCGTTATTCAACGATCTTATAATTATACTTAAGCTGTTCCGCGATCCCAGTAACTAACGCAATAACAGTCAATATTAATATATGTATCATGAGTTTTATATTTGAGTTTATTGTAAAAATCTTTTTTAGATTGCTCGCCTAGATGAAAAAGTTTGTTAGGTAAATTAAGAATGAGTGGATGTCTACCGAAAACGAATTGAATTTACAACTTAATTAATCAATTCAAAACTAAAAATGTTTGTAGACTTATAGGTTTAATTTTTTTACCTCTTGAACAAATCAAACACCTCGAGAAATGCTCGGTCCCCTAGTACTTGTTTAATAAATGAATCTATAGACATAAAAAATGTATTGTATGAAAATTAACAAAATTATATACAACTAACTACAAGTTATTACTTAGTAGTTTACTTAGTAGTTACTTACCGTTTAGGATTCGAGAATGTATAGTTTCTTTCACTTTTCGTCTTACAAATTCCAAATAAAACTAGGGATAAAATCGAAGAACAACTTTTAAGTGTTTTTGTTATTCCAATTGTTCTATTTTTTTGTCATATGGTACAATTAAACCCAATTGGATATTTATATCGAACCGAGTTATAATCGATATATATATATATTTATATCCATCCGATAATAATTCGCAGGTTCACCGTGTAACTGAAACCACTTACATTAAGTATACAAGTAAACATGTTGCTTGTCAAGTATAATAGAGGAGGCTATGGTATATGAGATTAGCAGATTTAAACTAAATGCCAATATTGATACTGTTAAAAGCATTTTCCATTTCATAGCTTCTATGTTTGTTGGCAAAGTCTCGTACTAATGTTACTGAGGTGAATGATAATAATGCACCTTTAGGGCTCAGCATTTGATTTATTTCTAGGGTTCGCTTACAAATAGCCAGTGCTGGTGACCAACATTCTTTATAACTGGTTTAAAAGGGATTTGTAATTTAACAGATAGTTTCATTTAGTTGAATGTTTATCCGCAGTCATACTGTAACACAAGATGAAACGGATTATGAAAATAGATATTAAAAATTTCCGATTCTAGTCTGATTGAGGAATAGTCAAAGCTTATTAGTAGTTCTATAATATAGTTCCATAGTATGATCAACTTAACAACTGTCTCATGAAAAATAAAAGGGTATTGAATTATTCGTTGTGCCAGGGAAAAAGTTTTAAAAATTATTTATATGTGAAATTTGTGCATGGGTCCCCTCGTAAGTCTTAATTGTTAAAATTAATTAAGCAGGATAGTAAAATTTGACAACAATCGTTTTACAAGTAGTGTTGTCTCTAATTAAAAAAACACATCAGATAGGTTTCTGCCTGTGTGTGATAAGCGTCCACACTGGCTAAGTAGATGGTAGTATTGATTATAGTTGCCATCTATCTATATATTAATAGGCAAGCATGTTTCTTTAAAACCTTTTTTCTCAGCTCGTGTGAATCGTAGGGAAAATCTACGCATACCGTTGGAAAGCTATTTTCCTGTAGGTGTGCAGAATCCCTTTATAAATTTAAATAGGCTCAAAGATAAGCACAAAAAATAAGTTTAAAAATTTGAAAAAATTAACATGGATCTTATGCGTTGCTATGCTGGTTACGAAATAACAACGAAATATAAACAGAAAATCAAAACAAATGGAGGAAACTCCAATCACATGTTTTATTTACAGTGTGGGGTGAAAATAGATAAGTGAGTACATTACATATTTTTGGTCGAGTTTCGACCACTGGACGACCTCTCGTAACTATTAAAACATATGTTTAAGGCAGGGTAAGGGAGGACAATGGATGGGGATACCGTGGGTTTGGTCAGTTATCTAGTAGACTCCGTTTATTTTACTAGGTCATTAAGAAATGTTTTTATACACTGGAGCGTGATGTACAGTTTCATGCTGATTTCTGTTTAGTGATGTTTTCAACGTTTTAGTATCAAATTAATGGTCAAGAAAACACTTGATCAAATAAAAATACATGTGATTCACAGTAATATATAAATAACCGTAACGTGTATTAAACAAAAAATATGTAAATTTAAGAATTGTACAAACAAGAGGTAAATGGGCAGTAAACAGTATAATACCTGACACATAAAGTTGGATATTTAATTACTTCAGGTAGCATTTAGGGGTGTGCGTTCTAAACCAGCAATGGAATAATAGAGTACGTACAAATTTGAATGGAGGCTTAGAGCCTCTATTGCAGAAGTAATAAAAACTATGGATAACATTTTACTTTTCAACAATTTATAGGTTATTTATATAGATATTATTTATCATGTCAAATTTTCCATAATTACTGTTTGGGTGCACTTCAAATTATGCCCGATGGACCTGGTTAAAAACGTGAGCTCACAATAACGTGTAGTAAAGTACAAAGGCAATTATTGAAGTCATTACAATCTCGTTTTTCAAAGCTATGACACTTGGAACAGACATGTTAACCTCTCAAGGTAAAAGTGTAGTAGATGTGTCAAGATATTTCGTTCTAAAACGTAAACAATCGCTTTAAATAAAACTAGTTAACATTTACGAGTGTTAATAGTGTTTTATTTATGAAGGTCAACGGGGAGGGCTTACAAAGTTTTTCTTGTTGTGAAAATAATATGTTGTTTCACTGCTCAATATTATGTATGAACTCACTTCAATCAGCTGTGGAAGCAACGCAAAGTGAAGTTAAACATAAAAAACTCGT